ATTTGGGGGAAGCCTAAACCATGGCCCAGATTTGGGTGGGTTTAAACCCTGGTCTGGATTAGGGGGGGACAAAAACCATGGCCCAGATTTGAAGGGCCAAAAACCCTGGCCCAGATTGGGGGGCTAAAAAATTCCTTCCCAGATTTTAGGGTGCTTAAATCCCGGCCCGGATTTGATTGGTGGGGGCCAAAACCCGGCCCGGATTTGATTGGTGGGGGCCAAAACCCGGCCCGGATTTGATTGGTGGGGGCCAAAACCCGGCCCGGTATTTGATTGGTGGGGGCCAAAACCCGGCCCGGATTTGATTGGTGGGGGCCAAAACCCGGCCCGGAATTTGATTGGTGGGGGCTAAAACCCCGGCCCGGATTTGATTGGTGGGGGCCAAAACCCGGCCTGGGATTTGATTGGAGGGGCCAAAACCCGGCCTAGATTTGATTGGAGGGGCCAAAATCCAGCCCAAATTTAATTGGGGGTTTAAACCCAGCCCAGATTGGAGGGGCCAAAACCTGGCCTGGATTTGATTGAGGGTTTAAACCCTGCCCAGATTGTATAAATGTCTAATCCAGGTGAAGTGTTGTTTCCCTCTTGGGCTGTGCCCCTGAGCAGAAGCAGCTGAGCTCTCTTTTGTTAAACTGGCAATTTATATACAGAAACACGCAGGACAGCAGTGCTGCAAACAGCCTGAAACACTCTAAATCCTGTCTTGGGGAAATTTAGAAGGTTTTAAGAAAATCTTTTCCCTTGCAGACGGCCGAGAAGGAGGAGTTTGAGCACCAGCAGAAGGAGCTGGAGAAGGTTTGCAACCCCATCATCACCAAGCTGTACCAGAGCGCAGGGGGGATGCCCGGGGGGATGCCTGGGGGCTTCCCCGGGGGTGGAGCCCCTCCCTCGGGAGGAGCCTCCTCGGGCCCCACCATCGAGGAGGTGGATTAAGGATCCCAGGGGGAAATGCATTCCACGAGCAGTTGGTGTTGGAGGAGACACCCCCAGCCCGGGGGTGGCACTGAAGGACCCAATCCTGTAGGCACAGCTGGGTTTGTTTTTTGCCAGATTAATAACTCCATAACTGAGCTGCTGTAAAAAAAAAAAAAAAAAAAGAGAGAGAAAAGAGAGGAAAAAAAATTAAAAAAATGAACAAAAAAAGCATTTTTTTTTTGTTTTCTGGGCATTTTAAATACTTGAAAGTGTGCGCGCAGGTGGGAGGTGATGAAAACCATTGCACTTTACAGTACTGTAAATGAGTGGGAATGCAATTCATGTCCTAAAGAATAAAAACTATTTAATGGGCATCACACTGTCTCTGCTTTCACTTGTTTGTACCTGTGGAAATAAAAAGAAAAAAAAAAAACATTAAATGTGGGTAATTGCTGCTGAACTGAGCATGATCCAGGTGGGTATTGAAGTGGGAAAAAGGGTTTGGAGCCAGGGGCTGTTTAAATATTTTTAAATATTTGGGGTCTGGGTGGATTTTTAAAAGGGATTAAGACCTTTTAGATCAAGTCCAACCTATAAATTACAAAATACAAAAATAATTAGATTTTCTTTAAAGAATTACTTGCTGAAATATCTCAACTTCTAGGATGATCCGGAGGTGAGTGAAGCTGGAGAATTTGCTTGCTAGGGAAGAGTCTTTTAATAATATTTTCAACAATACTTGACTAAAATGATAGTTAATTAAGAAATATTATTTGCATAAAATGTATTCATAAAATATACTCATGAAATATTATGAATCGTGTTTTTTTTAATAAGTTTTACAGAATATTTTTTGGCAGAACTCCTCTGCTGTATGTATAAATGTGTTTATTTAGTATCAGTGGAGGAGCAATTAATTTGCAGCTAAAATCAGGAAATTCCCAGAGCAATACCAGTTAAAAGAAGCTTTGGGGAGAGATTATTCAGTCTTGGGCTAAAAATATTTTGTGTTTAAAAATCCTTTTAAATGGCCCATGTGGGGCCGTGCATGGATTCCCCTTGAGCCATTCCTGAGTCCTGCCCCTGGATCCCAGCAGAAATTCCAAGTTCCAAGTGTTTATTTTTATTTTTGGGTTGTGCCAGAGCTGGGTGGCACCTGGGCACGGTAAATCGACATGAAAGTTTATTGGGGAATATTAAAAATTACAGCAATCATGGAATTCCTTTTCCCAGCCTTTCCTAGGCAAACACATGCAGAATATTCAGAATATTCCAGTGTCCTTCCTCATCTCCCCAAGTGCTCATCCCTGGAGAAATCCCCCTGTCCCAGTCCAACATGGGTCACTTTGGCCCGGGACAGCTGGGAACCCCCTAAAAGTGACCAGGGAATAATGAAAAATTAATAAATCACACAAAACTGAGAAGGATTTAAATCAATTTTAATTTGTGGGCACTGCTGGTGCTGGGCCACCAGATAGCAGCACCTGCCCATGGAATCACAGAGATCCCTTTTTTTGGGACATCACCTTTGTGGGTCCTTTTGTTTTTTTTGGGGGGTATCACTTTCTGGTCCTTTTTTTTTGGTTGTCCCTTTGGGTTTGAATTAAAACACCCCAAATAATTAATGGTTGTTAATAGAAGCCAGAGCAGCACCTCCCGTTAATTGTGTGCGAGGTTTTTGTTGCCTTGAGGGCCACAAAACTGGGTTTGGAAAGTGGTAGTGGTTTGGGGTATTTATTGTTTTGGGGTATTTAGTGGGTCATGTATTTATTGTTTTTAGGGTATTTGGTGGGTCATATATTTGGTGTTTTAGGGTATTTAGTGGGTCAGTATTTATTGTTTTAGGGTATTTAGTGGATTAGGGTATTTAGTGGGTGAGGATATTTAGTGTTTTAGGGTATTTAGTGGGTCATATATTTATTGTTTTAGGATATTTAGTGGATTAGGATATTTGTTTTAGGGTATTTGTTTTAGGGTATTTAGTGGGTGAGTATATTTAGTGTTTTAGGGTATTCAGTGGGTCATATATTTATTGTTTTAGGATATTTGTTTTAGGGTATTTAGTGGGTCAGGGTATTTATTGTTTTAGGGTATTCAGTGGGTTAGAGTATTTATTGTTTTAGGGTATTTAGTGGGTCAAATATTTAGTGTTTTAGGGTATTTAGTGGGTCAGGGTATTGTTTTAGGGTATTTAGTGGATTAGGGTATTTGTTTTAGGGTATTTAGTGGGTGAGGATATTTAGTGTTTTAGGGTATTTAGTGGGTCAGGGTATTTATTGTTTTAGGGTATTTAGTGGATGAAGGGAGTTCCTGGGAGCTGTCAGAGCTCTGGTTCAAACCCACAGCCTGGTGGGGCTTGGGGAGGAGGGTTCAGAGGGAAAACCCTACAAACACAGCACAGTTTGGGATATGTGGGGCTCACAGGGTGAATCCTGCAAGCACAGATTTGGGATATGTGGGGTTCAGAGCAAATCCTACAAACACAGCACAGTTTGGGATATGTGGGGCTCAGAGAAAATCCTACAAACACAGCACAGTTTGGGATATGTGGGGCTCAGAGAAAATCCTACAAACACAGCACAGTTTGGGATATGTGGGGCTCAGAGGGAAAATCCTACAAGGACAGCATGGGTTTAGGATATGTGGGTCTCAGGGAAAATCCTACAAGCTCAGATCTGGGATATGTGGGGCTCAGAGGGTAAATCCTACAAACACAGCACAGTTTGGGGTATGTGGGGCTCAAGGGTAAATCCTACAAACACAGCATGGGTTTGGGATATGTGGGGCTCAGAGGGAAAATGCTACAGACACAGATCTGGGATATGTGGGGCTCAGAGGGTAAATCCTACAAGGACAGCACAGTTTGGGGTATGTGGGGTTCACAGGGTGAATCCTACAAACACAGATTTGGGGTATGTGGGGCTCACAGGCTCACAGGGCCCTGCAGCCACCACAGCACCCGAACCAGGCCAGAAGGGGAACAAATGAGTGAAAATGAGACTGAATTAGGGGATTTTTGCATCGATCACAATGAGGAAACATCCCCCCCAAAAAAGGAAACCTAAAAAAAAAAAAAATGAACAAAATAAAAACCCTTCAGGAGAGGTGAGAGCTCGGTGTAAGGAAGGGCATGGACTGAAATGGTGGTTGGGGATTTTCAGTTTGGGAGGGATTTAAAGGCAAAATGCAGCTGAGGCAGGAGTGCATTTTGAGCTTTTTTTTGAGCTTTCCTGTCTGTTTGTCCATGTCCTGAGGGACTCTGGGGCTGGTTTGTCCAGCTGCAATCTGCAGCCGTGCTCTGCTGGAATCCCACATTTTCCAGGATGCCCCAGGAGCAGGCAGGGCCTGGGACCAGCCCGGATCAGAGGGTTTGAGCCCAGGCAGTGAATCTGGGGCTGCTTGTGAGCCACAGCAGAGAATAACCGAAATAAAGGGTTTTTCGGGACACTGACACATTTTCAATTTATTTTTGGGGCTTATTCAGTGTTTAAAAGCAGCAACGTAGCAGCTAATCCCAGGATTAGCTAGGTGTGTGTTTATTCCTAATCCTATACCTAACAAGTGTGGGTTTATTC